CTGCAAACAGTAACAGGTTTACTTCTTTTCCAATTTGGATTCCTTTTATTTTTTTTATTCTCTTATTGCTGTGGCTAAAACTTCCAGAACTATGTTGAATAAGAGTGGTGAGAGTGGGAACCCTTGTCTTGCTCCTGATCTTAGAGGAAATGCTTTCAGTTTTTCACCACTGAGAATGATGTTGGCTGTGGGTTTGTCATATATGGCCTTTATTATGGTGAGGTAGCTTTCCTCTATGCCTACTTTCTGGAGGGTTTTTTAAATAAATCGGTGTTGAATTTTATCGAAAGCTTTTTCTGCAACTATTGAGATGATCATAAGGATTTTCTCCTTCAATTTGTTAATATGGTGTATCACATTGATTGATTTGCGTATATTGAAGAATCCTTGCATTCCTGGGATAAACCCCACTTGATTGTGGTGTATGATCCTTTTAATGTGCTGTTGGATTCTGTTTGCTAGTATTTTGTTGAGGATTTTTGCATCTATGTTCATCAGTGATATTGGCCTGTAGTTTCTTTTTTTGTGACATCTTTGTCTGGTTTCAGTATCAGGGTGATGGTGGCCTTGTAGAATGAGTTTGGGAGTGTTCCTCCCTCTGTTATATTTTGGAAGAGTTTGAGATGGATAGGTGTTAGCTCTTCTCTAAATGTTTGATGGAATTTCGCCTGTGAAGCCATCTGGTCCTGAGCTTTTGTTTGTTGGAAGATTTTTAATCACAGTCTCAATTTCAGTGTTTGTGATTGGTCTGTTTATATTTTCTATTTCTTCCTGGGTCAGTTGTTACTACTCCTTTTTCATATCTAATTCTGTTGATTTGAGTCTTCTCCCTTTTTTCTTGATGAGTCTGGCTAATAGTTTATCAATTTTGTTTATCTTCTCAAAGAACCATAGTTTTATTGATCTTTGCTATTGTTTCCTTCATTTCTTTTTCATTTATTTCTGATCTGATCTTTATGATTTCTTTCCTTATGCTACCTTTGGAGCATTTATTTGTTCTTCTTTCTCTAATTGCTTTAGGTGTAAGGTTAGGTTGTTTATTTGAGATGTTTCTTGTTTCTTGAGGTAGGATAGTATTGCTATAAACTTCCCTCTTAGAACTGTTTTTGCTGCATCCCATAGGTTTTGGGTTGTTGTGTTTTCATTGTTATTTGTTTCTAGGTATTTTCTGATTTCCTCTTTGATTTCTTCAGTGATCTCTTGGTTATTTAGTAGTGCATTGTTTAACCTCCATGTGTTTGCATTTTTTACAGTTTTTTTTTCCTGTAATTGATATCTAGTGCTAACAGCCATAAAAGGGGAAATCGACAGTAACACAATAATAGTAGGGGACTTTAACACCCCACTTTCACCAATGAACTGATCATCCAAAATGAAAATAAATAAGGACACACAAGCTTTAAATGACACATTAGACCAAATGGACTTAATTGATATTTATAGGACATTCCATCCAAAAACAACATAATACACTTTCTTCTCAAGTGCTCATGGAACATTCTCCAGGATAGATGATATCTTGGGTCACAAATCCAGCCTTGCTAAATTTAAGGAAATTGAAATCGTATAATAAATTCATTCTTTATCATCTAGATGATCATTTGGATGGTATGTTATTTCAATGCTGGTCTTTTTCATGATTTTTATAATCTCTCAGGCACCTGGTTGGCCTCTCTTACTTGTTTATAGGCTAATAAGAAAGAAGATAGGCAGATTTATTAGGCAAAAAATGTGTTTTTGCCTAGCAAAAGCTCAATACTGCCATGTAAGAAGTAATTTCCTGGATATTTAAATAGTTTCAAGCATAGAAAGTGATGGCAAGCTTCCCAGTTTATATAAAAAGTTAGTGAAACTCTGATAGCAAATTCTGACAAATAGAGCATGTACACACACACACACACACACACACACAAACTATAAATGAATCACACTTCTGAGTATAAAAAAATTTCTAGATTAACAGCCAAAAGAAATTCAGAAAATCAGAAATACAAGAATGGCTTAGTGTTGGAAAATATATTAGTATAATTGATCAAATCAGTAGGTCAACAGATTAAAAATTTTATGATCATCTTGATAGATTCTGAGAAGGCATTTGATAATGTTCAACATCCGTTATGGATAAAAATATTTAATAACATTATGAAGAAACACTGACAAGATCCCTTTACTGAGGCCCACTATCACTGCCACCATTTAACATCATTCTAGAACTGCTAGCCTTATAATTATTCAAGAAAGGAAATAAGCATAAATATTGGGAAAAAAGGAGTTGAAACTATGCTTCTTTTCAAATGATAAGATTGGCTATCTGCAAAACTCAAGAGACTCAACTAAAAATCTATCAAAACTAGGAAGTAAGTTTAGTAAGGTGGCTTACTAAACTTTGTAACTTATGTTACAAAGAAACATAAAAATCAAACAGCTTTCCAACATACAGGTAAGAACTACTTGGAGAATGTAAAAGAAAAATAATCCCGTTTAATAGTAGCAAAATGACAAAATTTCTAGAAATAAACTTATTAAGAAAAGTATTGACAATACATGAAGAAAGTTATAAAATGTTAAGGAAGGATATAGATATTAGGCCAAAAAATGGAGATTTAATCTGTCTGCTGAGAAGATTTAATAGTAAAGATGTGAATTCTCATCAATTTATTGTATAATGTTAACACAATCATCCCACTAGGATTTGCTGTAAAACTTGACAAAATTCTACAAGCATCGCAAAGCCTAGTACAGCTCCTGGCACCCAGTAAGTACTCATTTTATGGATAAATGAAAGAATACCCAGGAATAATTTTAAAACAGAATGTTTTGAGGAGGAACTTGCATTACTGGATTTAAAATGCATCATAAGATTTTAATAATATTTTGCATTAAAGGTTGTAATATAAAGATCAAATCACAGAAAGTTCAGAAGTTTACACACACACAAACTTAAGATAAAGTTGCCCTTTCAAACATCTAGTAAAATTATGGATAATTTAATAAGTGTTATTTGTAAAATTGCCTCACCATTTAGAAAAAAATGAATTTAGATCTCTAGCACAAAATTTACGACAATAATTACATATTAATTAGAAAGAAGCATTATTTTAAAATGAGATAATGCAATTTTGTATATGCCATAGGACCATAATTAATCATTACAAGTATGAATAGAAAGAAGAGAGGGGTGAAGAATGCATCACATTCTTATCAGTGAATATCTCTGGGGAGTAAGTATGAGTGACTTTTTCTTCCATGTGCTTTTTCCAGTTTTCTGTGATCACTTGAGAGACACAGGAGATAAGAATACAGACACTGATTTGAATCCTCATCACTTGCTGCCTGTGGTCAAATTATATAACTCCTCTGAGCCTTAATTTCTTATCCACTAAAAACAGAGATACAAATACCTACCTTATCCATATGGTTATGTGAGGTTATAATTTTATAACTTCATTTTTAAGGTGCAAACAAAGCTTGCTACTTGACTTATGTTACCTGCCTGGCCCCTCTTGGCAACTGGGTTTGCCACCCTAGTCTAGACATAAATATTTAAGAAATCCTTCTGCTAACACTTCAAACAACAGCAACAACCTACTTCACAGGTCTATTATGAGGATCAAATAGGATAATACATGTAATGCATTTAGCATAGCCTCAACATATAGTAAATGCTCAATTAATTTAGCTATTATGTCTTTCGTAATGAGGAAAATTTTATTAGGAAAAGAATATTTGAAATTGAGGCAGTGATGGTTATAGCAGGATGATTATATAGTAGGATGGTTATAGTGTGACAGTATACTGCCACAGCTTCTGGGAAACCCAAACAGTGGTGGTTAAATCTAGTCTAAAATTGCTGGAGCTAATCTCAAATTTTGGATCCAGATCTTTGAATGTGAGGAAGATCCCACAAAATGTACAGGAAGTGCTGCACTGACAGTATTCCATTAAGAAGAGATGTTTAGATTAAACTACTTTCATGTATTCTAAATGGTAGATATAAATTCTATCAAAACCAATCAATAGGGGTTTCCCTGGTGGCGCAGTGGTTGAGAGTCTGCCTGCCGATGCAGGGGAAACGGGTTCGTGCCCCGGTCCGGGAAGATTCCCACATGCCGCGGAGCGGCTGGGCCCGTGAGCCATGGCCACTGGGCCTGCGCGTCCGGAGCCTGTGCTCCACAATGGGAGAGGCCACAGCAGTGAGAGGCCCGCGTACCACACAAAAAAAACAAAACAAAAACAATCAATAACTTTTCAAAAGTAGCCAAGAAATGAAAACTCTCATTTTTCCTGGAGAAAACTAGAAACTCACCCCCCCTGCCCCAGACCAAAACTCTGTGTCTATTTTAAAATAATATGATAAGGAGTGAGAGTCAGGAAGAGGCAGAATGGTCAAGAGAAAGAACTCTGGGACTTTGGAAACAAGGGTTCAAGTCTCAGCTATGCCACCAGCTGGATGAATATATCAGGAAGCCATTTAACCTACTGTGCCTCTGTTTCCTTATCTGTAAAGTTATGTAATTGTGTTAATGGATCACCAAGTCTTCTTCCGGTTTTACTGTTTTATAGCTTTTGGATTTGAAATTAATATTCCCCAAATAGAAATATTTAATTACAATCAAGGCTGATACACAAGCCTAAAACAACAGCAACAACAGCAACAACACAAACTCTACGAGTCAGGTGAAGTGTTGTCATCACAACTGGTGTAAATAAAGGTGCAAATTCTGCTCAGTCTCTGCCCAGCAAGCAGATCTATTAAAGTAAAGAAATCTAAATTTGGAAACTCTGATTCCTTTCCTTAGTCGTCCAGAATCGAAATCTTTTTCTCTGTGTAAGATTCAGGTTTATGTATATTCATTTCTTCAACCACTTATTAAGAGGCTGCAATGCAATGTGCAAGGTGCCAGGGATATCAAGACAAGCAAACCAAGTTCTTGCCTTCAGGTAGTCAAGCTTAACTGTTGACCTAAGCTTAAAACACACATTTTAAAAAGACAGTTCACCTTGTTTTTTAGCTTGTAGTTCTGAGAGAAGCCGCTCTTTTACAGCTTTAATGGCTGCTCCAGTGGCCTCAGCTATAGTATTTCTGGTTAGTGTTTCAAGGGCTTTATCAAAACGTGGTTGGACAAGTTTATTGTAGTCAACTACCTGCAAAGAATATTTGAGAAAACCAACATAAAACCAACATAAGCACAAGTTACTCTGAATATTAAGCACACTGTTCATCTACATCTATTTCTATAGCTATACCTATCCATCTCAAAAATCTTAATGCTGCTTGAGGTATGTTATTCTCAGAATTCAGTGATTTTTGAGTACTTGCTTTCACAGAAATTCAATATATATATAAATATATATTTATATATGTATGATCATGTAAATATATTCAAATTATATGTATACTTTTAAAATCAACATTTTATGGATAATCTACATACAATAAAAGGCACCCATTTTAAGTATAGAGTTTGATGAGTTTTTCCAAATATATACATGATGACCACAATCAAAATATAGAACATTTATATCACCCCAAAAAGTTCCCTCTCATCCCTCTTTATAGTCAGTTCCTATAGAACTGACTATAGTCAGTTCTATAGTCAGTTCCTACAGAAAAGTGGTTGCCAGGGGCAACCACTTTTTCTGTCACTATAAATTAGTTTTGCCTTTTCTAGAATTTCATATAAATAGAACCATACAGTATATAATCTTTTCCAAGCTTTTCTACCTTGGCATAATGTTTTTGAGATTCATCAGTGTAACTGTATATCTCAGTAATCTATTCCTTTTTGTTTTTGAGTAGTATCATTATATGAATATACCATAGTTTTTAATCCATTCATCATGGACATTTGGGTTGTTTCCAGTTTTGGCTATTATAAATAAAGTACCAATGAACATTTGTGAGAAAGTCTTTTTGTGGACATTACGTTTTCACATCTCTTGGATAAATGCTGAAGAGTAGAATTACTGGGTCATATGATTAAGTGTATGTTCGACTTTATAATAAACCACTAAACTGTTTCCAGAGTGGTTAAAGCTATTTTACAGTCCTAGCAGCAAAGTATGAATATTGAAATTATTCCAACTCATCACCAACACTTGGTTTTGTGAATCTTTCATGTTAGCCACCTTAGCTGGTGTGAAATCTCATTGCAGTTTAAATTTACATTTCCCTAATCACTGATAATTTTGAGCTTCTTTTTATGAGCCTATTGGTCATTTACTTACCCATATGTTTTTAAGCATATGTTCAACTTTTGCCTAGTTAAAAAATTAGGTTAGAATTCTACATATATTTTGAATATAAGTCCTTTGTTAGGTAGATAATACACTTAATACTGAATGTTGGGATGTTAGATTTATATACGCCTTTTAAGTTTAAATAATATTTCCATACTTCTAGATTCAATTTTGCTTTTCCTTCAATATGCTTATATTACTTTATTCCATGCCAACAAAAATATATCCACACCATCATTTTTAATGGATGAACAGTATTGTACTAGATGAATATATTACAACTTAATATTTAACTAAAATACCAATTATATTTAGATATACATGATTTTGTTATTATAAACTAGGTTATGAAGAACATAGTTATGTATATGTCTTTGATAGTTGCTTCAGGAAAAACCTGTAGTTCAAAGGATACGTATAGATTTTAGGCTTTTATATGTATTTCCAATTGCTATCCCTAATGATTATACCCTAACCAGCAATGTATGAGAATGTACTCTCCCAATCCTAGCCACACATCAATGCTCGTTGTTAATATGATTTTTCAACAGTGAGACTGACATGACATATATCTGTTTTTTTTGGCCTCTCCCTGGTTATCAAGGTGATATCCCTTTTCTCATGTGTAATGGCTATTTGGATCAACTATTTTGTGAACTGCCTGTTTGCTGTCATTTTCCGTTGGGGCTTTTACATATTGATTTGTAAAAACTCCTTACATTTTAAAATTATAATTCTTTTGTCTGACACATACTGTGATGGTTTTAAAACATGTCCACAAATGCTTTAATATTCCTTTCTTCAGAAGGTGAAGCCTAATTCCCCTCTTCTTTAGTGTAGGCAGGACTCAATGACTTACTTTAAATGAATATAGTATGGTGCATTTTTCATTTAAAAAGGGAAATGGCAAACCAGAGTGGTAGAAAATATTCATAATGTTTATTAGAAAATATTCGTAATGTTTATAATAAAAAAATTCTGTACATAGACAACATAAGGAACTCCTACCAATAAAATGCAAAAAAGTTAAAAATGGGCACGAGGCTTGAACAAAGCGAACAAACACTTCAGAAAATGAATATGTGAATAACATATGAAAAATGTTGAACCTCATTAGTCATCAGGGAAATGCAAATTAAAACCTCAGTGAGATATACCCACTAGGATGGCTAAAATTAGAAAGACTGACCATAACAAAAGTTGGCAGGAATGTGGAACTCTCATACACTGCTGGTAGGATAGTAAATTGGTAGAACTAGTCTTGAAAACAGGTTGGCATTTTCTACACAAGTTGACTATGTATGTATACCTTATGTCCCAGGAATTTTACTCCTAGATATTCCTTCAAACTATATAAAGATATGCATGTATACACCAAGAAACAGGTACAAGACTGTTTATAGCAATGTTATTCACAATTCCCCAAACTGGAATCAACCTAAGTTTTACTGACACTCAAATGGATAATAAATCATAATATAATCCAATTAATAGAATACAATAAAACAATAAAAATAAGCTATAGCTATACTTAATAACATGCATAAATATCACAATTATAATGTTAAGTGAAAGAAGCCAGACACAAAAAACATAAACTGTTTTAAGTCCATAAAGTTAAAAAAATATGCAAAGCTAATCTATGGTATTTGAATGTGTGCTTACATGGTAAAACCATAAAAGAAAAGTACAGAAGTGAGTATCATAAAGTTCAGGGCAGTGGTTACCTTTGTGGAAGAAGTAAGAGGATTGATATTAGAAAGAGGCATGAGGCGGCTTCTGGGGTGCTGGGGTTCTGTGTCTGACCTAGGTGGTGGTTACATGGGGGTTTGTTTTGTGATATTTCAATGAGCTTCACTTTTCTGTATGTTTGTCATATTTTATAACAAAAAAGTTAAAAGCAAGTAGCAAATGTTACCCCTGTGTTTAAAAGAATTCAGTAGCATCTGGAATAAATTCAAACTCCTTCCCAGGGCCTGCACTGTCTGACTACATCTTCAGCCATCTCCACCTTGTGCCGTTCCTCCTTTCACACTACATGCTCCAGCCACACTGGCCGTCATATAATTCCTCTACATTCCAATCCCTCATCAAATCCTTTGGCTCTATCTTCAAATTATATCCCAAATTTGCCCACTTCTTACCACCTCTACTGCTATCACTCTGGTCTAAGCTAAAAGTAATTTCTCTTCACTTACGGAGGGTGGAGAATAAGATCACTGAGGGGAGGGGTCAAGGAACTGTCAGGTCAAGGTGTTGTGAGGGTCATCTTTGTAGACAGTGAAATCACCAAGAATGATGACAGGAATGAGTGTGTGGAGGAAGGGTCGGTGGGCCAGGAGGGGTGTAACCCAGGGAACAGGAGATGAGTGAAACCAAGAAAGGTAATGGGTGGCACAGTCTGCATGACATAGCAGTCAAATCTGGGGACTTTCGGGAGTGGCTGTGGTCTGGAAGCTGCACTAAAGCATCGAGGAAGACGCCTTCCCCACTCCAAGCCCAGTGGAATAATTACCCAGTTGACAGTATAAAATTAAGAAAGCTGAGCACAGGGAATTCCCTGGCAGTCCAGCAGTTAGGACTCCATGCTTTCACTGCTGAGGGCCCAGGTTCAATCCCTGGTCAGGGAACTAAGATCCCACAAACTACGCTGCTCCATGCTTGCTGAGGGCCCAGGTTCAATCCCTGGTCAGGGAACTAAGATCCCACAAACTACGCTGTGCGGCTAAAAAAAATTTTTAACTTAAAAGAAAGAAGAAGAAAGAAACACCTATCAGGCTGCATCAGAAGAATGATTTATTAAAGCTGGAGTTTGGGGGGTTTAAAAAAAAAAAGAAAACTGAGTACAAATCCTAAAAGTCCTAAAATCCCACAAAGTATAATCAAGTATAGATAGGTAGAAAGCTAGCTAGGTAGCTAGCTAAGTAGTTACCTTTCCTTTGTAATGTTTTGCAAGCAAATTGCTAAGTGTTGTTTTTCCTGAAGACTGAGGTCCAAATATGAACACTTTAAATGGTGGTGCTGGCATAGGTGGAAGAAGATAGGGACGTGGGTTCAATAAAAATGTTTTTAATGCTTCTTCTGATGAGAGACAGTATATTTTACCTAGAAAACTTAAAAAATGCCATTATCATAAACAACTGAAAAGAGGTATGGGCAAGTTTTTAAATTAACTTCTGAAAATCTTACTTACCTCACAGAAAAATCTGGCAATCCTTGAAAAATGTTACCTTCTTTTAAAGTCACCGGACATGTATGTCCCCATCTGCTTCTCTGCCATCTGTATCTTGGTGCAATAAGTTTACAAGCTGCAAGAGTACGGAACAGCTCATCCTGTTAACAGCAAACAACATTAAAAATGTGGGCATAAATTTGGCTGAAATTCACATTATTATTTCATTTCTTATTTGATCGTGTTCTACAATTTAAGAAATAATTCATAAAGGAAATTTTGGTTTTTTTCTCAATTGTAACCATTCTGTACTTGTCCAAAATTTAATAAGACAAATAGTTTTCATTTCTGTTTTAAGACCTTGTTTAAATTTTACTGAGCATTTTCTCTTGTAGGGTAGAATGAGCATAAGGTGGATAGAGCATTTTCTATTATCTGTTTCAGGAAACAGATTCTGAAAAATTCTTATTGAAAAGGTTTGAAAACATACCAGAATCTTAGCTAATTTACATAAGTTTTAAAATAGGAAGATGTTACATGCAGATTTGCATTGACTTAGCTGTTTCATTCTTCTTAAATGTAAAGTCTCCCTCAGCAATCCTCCATTCGTCACCTGCAGAGTAGCTAAGAACCACTTCTCTACCGACTGCAGACTGCTGAGAGGGTCACTGTCCTAGTGCTACCTTGGCAGGGACAAGAGAACTGGAGGGAAATGACATGGTAGGCAACTGCTAGGGGGACAGGTCCAGGCTGGCTCCCTCCCACCTTCAGACGTGGATCTCACATGTATTGCTGGTTCCAGAGCTGACTGTGGAGGACAGATGAGAATGGAAGCTCTGGTCTTGCCTGTACTGCTGCAGTATCTGAGAGCAAAGAGGCATGCTGGTTGCGGGGATGTTGCATGGATGTCCCCACCTGAAGGCTGGAAGAAGCTAGATGGGAAGGAAACTGTCAATGCCTAGGGGAGCTGAATGGCACTGAGAACCTTGTCGGTGGTGCACATTTGGCTACCACCCTTCTCCATGAGTCCACAGACAATGAGCTAGGGACTGAAATGTATCCAGTTAACTCAGGAAGCAGGCACTTTTTCCTTATCATCCCTATTTCCTGTCCAAACTTGGAGAAAGTGTGTGAATAGCAGACCATGCTCCTCTCTCAACTTTGAGCCCCCGAGGCCACATATCTAGCAGGGGCTGAGGGGCGATGAAAAGATGAGCTTTCAAATGAGTTTGATATCACAGTCGTAAAAATGATCATGACTGTCTCTGGTTAAAGGCAGACTGAACACATGCATTTGTGTTTGCTTTTTTCTAAAACCTTGCAAAAATGACAGCAGAGGAATGAAAAAAGAAATGAACTCACAAGGACACAGAGATTGGGAGAAGAGACCAGAGGAGCTGACAGCTAAGCAGCCGCAGCTATACACTTTTGTCAACTAGAAAGCAGAAGTATATAGCGGCCGCAGCTACACACTTTTGTGTGTGGTGAGCTCTGGAGACCCGGCTGGACAGATCCTGTCAATATTTCTTTACCTTGTAGCCTAGCTCCTTGGTCCTCTCCTCCAACAAGGCGTATCTCTCTGTTCCGTGCCTGCTGCGCTCCCGGTCGCCAACCACGTGTTTGTTCGTGATGAGAAATTTCCAGTTGCTTCTGATAGTGGTTATGCTTTTCGATTTTGGTGTCAAAGTGCTTAAGCTCTTCCCAAAAGGATTCCAGTTCCTTCTTTGTGAAGTTGGCTGACCTGGCCGGGTCCCACAGATCCATCCCTGGGGCTCGTCGAACTCTGCCTCGGCGCCGCAGCCCCGGTGGCCGACTTTCTGCAGGTGGTCGAAGTCCTGGCTGATGTCCTGCAGCCTGTCCTTCACTCGGCGTGTCTGCTCTGCAGCACGTCCTCCTGGCTGTGGGTCACGTCGGCGGGACTGACGACGTTTTTCTTAATTTCTTCTGTCCTGCTCAGGGTCTCCAGAAGGACCTTATTCTCCTGGACCTTCTCCCTGTGATACTGAAACTCCCACCACGACTGGTCCAGTTCTTCATTGAAAACCCTCCCGGAGGTCTTCGCCTTGTGCCACAGCTTCTCCAGCCGGGGGTCCTCCAGGCTGTGGTCCTTGGTGCCGGGGCTGAGGACGTTGCTGCTCACGGCTGGCCTGGGCGTCGTTTCTCCCGTCCCGACCGCACTTGGCCAGGATAACGTTGAGACTGCTGATAAGTTTTGCTTCTTTCTCTCCATCTTCATCTAAGCCTTCAGCCTTCAATTTCTTCCTCTCGAATTCGTCCCTTTCGCGTATGTATCTTGAAGCTCAAGCTTGTATCTTGATCAGCATGGAGCTCGGGCAATTTCACAGGAGAAAGATTAAGCCTCTGGGCCTTCCCCCACAGCTGATTCTGCTTCTCCTGGCGGAACTACCCCAGACCCGGGCTCGCGCTCCGAGGGCTGCGCGGGCTCGTTCTTATCCCGCGAGAACTTGCAGCCGTGGCCGGCGGCCCGCCAGGCCCGGGCGGGCGGCGGCGGCGGCGGCGGCCGGCAGCGGCCGGCGGCGGCGGGCGGCGGCGGGCGGCGGCGGGCGGCGGCGGGCGGCGGCGGGCGGCGGCGGCGGCTGTCGCCGGAGCTCGCGCAGCGCAGCTCGGACCCTCCGCGATGCCGTCTTCCTCCTCTGGAAGCCGAGACCCCGGCAATTGCGGGTCGGAAAAGCCCCCAGGTTTTCTGAATACTTTAAATTTTCCCTTCAGTTATGACCTAGAAGTGACTCAGTACAGAGCTTCTGTGTGCATCAGGCCCACCTTTCCTCCTCTTCAGCACCAGTTCGTATTACATATTCCAGCTATATTCAGCCATTAAGATCTAGGGATTACACAGTACAGGATAACAAAATGACCTCTTTCCTTACATTTATTTCCATAATCTATTTGAATTATAATATCTATGATTCTGGTATTAGTTTTTTTATTTCTATTTTTATAGGTGAATCTAAACTTCCCAGAATAGATCAAATCCTCCACTTAAAAGTCCTGGTAGCCCTTTTAGCACTTGGCAATTATAATTTGATCACCATCACATCCACAATACATCAGGGCCGGGAACAGAGTAGTTATTTTAAAAATTGGTTGAATGATTGGGGAAATGAATGAGTATAGAGTTGAGGGCTTTTATGTCTTTGCTTTCTTTGGTGCTGCAAAATTTTGAAACTGAACTTGGGTTTCTTTATTTCTTATTATTCCTGTGGTTGATTGTTCTGATTTTATTGTCTTTCTTTGTTTCAAAACTTTTGTTGTGTTTCGTGTCTACAAGAATATTGTGCCAATATTACAGCTTCCCAAAATCAAATCCATTTTTATAAAAGGTATCCTGAGAGCCTTTTAAACCTTGAAAGGATACAAATTAAGGTCACAACATATAGTGAAAGGGTAGACTTTCAAACAGTTAAAAATAACTTACATTTTCCATTGTGTCATTAATTTCTTCCTCTGCACTCTGAAGTTTGGTTAAAACAGCTGCTCTTTTTAGGTTCAGATATTTAAGTCGATCCATAACTGTCTAAATTTAAAGAACAAGTCTTTTAATACATTGGCATTTGAACATCTCAAATGTCCTGAAAAAGTCATGAGCTCATGAGTAGAATACTTCCTTGTTCTTCCTAGCTTCTGGTAGTTGGCCGGCAGTGTTTGGTGTTGCTTGGCTTGTAGATGCATCACTCCAATCTCTGCCTCTGTTGTGACATAGCCATTTTCTCCCTGTGTTCATGCATCTCTTCTCTTATAAGGATGCCAGCCATATTGGATTAGGACCAATCCTAATTCACTATGGCCTCACCTTAACTTGATTACATATGAAAAGATCCTATGTCCAAATAAGGTCACACTTATAGGTATTGAAGTTTAGCTCCTCAACATATATTTTTGGGGACACAATTCAACCCATGAGAGTCTACCCTTTGGTCCCCAAATATTCATGCCCTTCCCTTGTTAATTCCCTAGTTTATGTGAGAATCCTTATCTCATTGGTATTGAGCTTCTCCATGTAACTTGTTCTGGCCCATAGAATGTGGGCAGAAGTGCCAGGGTGCCATTGCTGGCCGGGGCCTTAATAGCCTTGGGAAGTTTCAACCAGGCCTGTTGGAACTTCTGCCCTTTACCATGAGGAAATTGTGTCCCAGGTTGTAAAAAGTAGTCAAATTCTGGATATATTTTGAAGAAGAAGCCTGCTGTATATACTGATGGGTTGGATGTAGGATATGAGAAAAAGAGAGGAGCAGCTGGAAGGGTGGATGTGACATATACTGAGAGGGGAAAACTATGGGAGGAGTGTATTTGGGGCAGGGTGGTGGTGATGGCGGATCAGGAGTTTTATCTTGCACATTGAATCTGAGATGACAATTATACATCCAATAGGATATATTGGATATATTTAGTAGCAGTTGATTATACAAGTGTGAAATTCAGGGGAAAGGTCTGGTATAGTAATTTGAATTTCAGAGTCGCCAGCATTTAGAAGGTATTTAAAGCCGTTGGGTTGGATGAAGTCTCCTAAGAAATGAGGGTAGACAGAGAAGAGTGCTCAAGGAATGAGTTCTGGGATCCTCCAGCTCTAGAGGTTAGAGATGTAGAGTGTAGAGGTAGAATGAGCTATAGTAGTGTGGGGTCCCAGAAGACAAGGGAAGAAAGAAGCAGGAAGGAAGAAGTGATGAGCTGGGTCAAATATTGCTTCTAGGTGAATTAGATGAAGACCAAATAGTCACCACTGGCTTTGATCAGGAGATCACGGATGATCTTGGCACGAGCATATTCTAAGTGAGGAGCTTCTCCCTAATTTGGTTGCACCACCAGCATTATTACTTATGTGGATACCAGCCATATCAAACTAAAAATCTGGGCATTGCTTCTGACTTTTCTCTCTCCCTGTCCTCCTACATTAAGTAGCTCCCAGGTCTGTCTTCTGTCCATTCCCACAGTGACTACCCTGGGTTAGACCACCATCTCTTATCTGATGTGCTGCAAAAGTCAGAACTAGTCTTCCTCCCACCAACCTGCTTCTCCTCAGTTTTTCCTTTGCATTGCAGCCTGAGTGATCTTTCTTAAATGGAAGTAGAAGCATTTTACTCTCTGGCTTAAAACCTTTCACTGGCAGCCCACTCTCTCATGATGAGGTCTAAACTCTTCAACGTGGCTTATGAGGCCTTTCTTGCTGCAACCCCTGCTTATTCCTAAAGTTTTGGCACTACTCCACTCCTACTCCATCCCCCTAAAAACTCCTCCATCTTCCAGTCCTGTGTTCAGTTCCTAGAACTCACTAGGCTCTTTTTTGCCTCTAGGGCTTCACACAGACCCTTCCCTCAGCCTGGAACACTGTCCCACCTTCCTCCCCTCACCAGCCCTCACGGTCTAATTCTTACTCATCCTTAGAGTTTCAATTTAGAAATAATTACAGACACATGGCCTTCCTCACAAGATTAGGTCCTGTCCTTTTGCCATGAGCTCCTATATAGTACCTTGTACCTCCCAGATGATAACACAAACTGCCCTTGAAATATTTATTTTCCCCCAACATATTGGATACTGTGTGAGGGGAGGGACTCATCTGAACCCTTCCCATCTGTATCCTTAGAGCTTATCATAATGCTGCACACTTATTAGGTTTTTAAGAAATAGGTAATGTATTTTTGTACCATTTTGTATTGGACTGTATATTTTTTGCTTTTATTTTTTTATGTACTGTATATTTTTGTATTTTGTAATTTTTATGATCCATATTATTTTGTATTATTTTTGTATTTTGTACTTTTGTGTTTTCTGGTTATTTTAAAACCATGAGTGTGTATAACTTTTAAATCAGAATGCAGATATTTTTTAAAAAGGCACAAGCTTATAGATACAGAAAGCAGACTGGTGGCTGCCAGAGGTGGGGGGTGGAGGATGGGAGGTGGACAAAATGGTTGAAGGAATTCAAAAGAATAAACTTTCAGTTATAAAATAAATAAGCCCTGGGGATGTAGTGTACAGCATGGTGATTATAGTTGATAGTACTATATTGCCTATTTGAAAGTTGCTAAGAGAATACATCTTAAAAGTTCTCATCATAAGAAAAAAAATTCTTTATGTATGGTGTCAGATGTTAGCTAGACTTATTGTGGTGATCATTTCACAGTATCTACAAATATCGAATCATTATGTTGTATACCTGAAACTAATATAATGTTGTATGTCAATTATACCTCAGTTTAAAAAAAAAGAATGAAGATATTTACATGTTGGGGAAAAAAAAAGTACCTTCTCTTCCTTACACTCTAAGTGGGAAGTTATCACATGAAATATATTTAAATGATGTATTTAGTATGGTTACCATAAACAGAAGAATTACTATTATGTTTTCGCCAAAAATCATGCGTTAGTCTTTCAAATTCACACATTTAAAAAAAACCCTTTCCCAAACATTTTTTGCTTTTTTTCTGATCATAAACATCTTGAACAAAAATCTTTCTGTATATCTCCACGTATTTCCTTAGAATAAATTACTAGAAATTGGGCCTCTTTGGACAGATGATAGACATTTAAAAAAATCTTTTGGGGCTTCCCTAGTGGTGCAGTGGTTGAGAGTCCTCCTGCCAATGCAGGGGACACGAGTTCGTGCCCCCGTCCGGGAAGATCCCACATGCCGTGGAGCGGCTGGGCCCGTGAGCCATGGCCGCTGAGCCTGTGCGTCCGGAGCCTGTGCTCCGCAGCAGGAGAGGCCACAACAGTGAGAGGCCCGCATACCGCAAAAAAAAAAAAAAAAAGAAAAAATCTTTTGGATACATATATGCCGTATTATTTTCCAGCAAGATTCTGCCCTGTATGCTCCTACTGAAAGGGTATAAGAGCATTTCGCAAACCCTCCCCACAATCCTGGATATTGGATAAATTTGTTAAATCTGCTAAGAAAATGCTGCTTTTTATTCTTTGTGCTGTTTGCATTTCTTTGACTCATAATATGATTATAGAAGTTAAAAATATATATTATTAGACATTTCTTGCTAAATTACCTGCTCATGCCCTTTGCCTGTTTTTTCTATCGAGATATTTGCTTTTTTCCTATTGAAATATCAGACGTTTTAAAATATTTATAAAAGATAGCATTTGTTTATAATAAGTATGGAAACTATTTCCCCTCATTGTCATTTGTTTAATAGTGAAAATAATATTGTATGTTCAAATATGCATATATTCTGTTTAAAAAAAGCTTTATTGAGATATAATTCATATACCATATAATTCATCCATTTAAAGTGTACAATTAAATGGTTTTTAGAATATTCAGAATTGTGCAACCATCACCACAATTAATCCTAGAACATTTTCATCACCCCCAAAATATACCCTTTACCCGTTAGTAGTCACTCCACATTTATTCTGGGATCTCCCACAGTGGTAACCCCACACCCCCCACGCCCTGCCAGTAAGGAACCACTTATCCATTTTTTGTCTTTGTAGATTTGCCTATTTTGGACATTTCATGTAAATGGAATCATATGATATGTGATCTTTTGTAACTTTTCTTCTACGTAGCCTGTGTTCAAGATTCATCCATGCTGTAGCATGTGTCAATACTTCATTCCTTTTTATTGCTGAATAATATTCCATCATATGAGTATACCACATTTTATTTATCCATTCATCAGTTAATGGACATTTGTGTTGTTTCTACCTTTTAGCTATTGTGAATAGTGCTGCTATGAATATTCATGCACAAATTTTCATTTGAACACTTATTTTCAATTCTTTTGGGTATATATCTAGGACGTGAATTGCTGAGTCGTGTGGTAACTCCATGTTTAACCTTTTGAGGAACTGCCAAACTGTCTTCCAAAGTGGCCACACCATTTATAATCCTACCAACTATGTATGGGTGTTCCAATTTTTCTACATCCTCACCAACACTTGTTATTTATTGTCTGATTTGTTTTTTGTTTTTAATTTTAGCCATCTTAGTGGATTTGAAGTGGTATCTCATTATGGCTTTGGTTTGCATTTTCCTATGGCTCATGTTAAGCATCGTGTCCTGTGTCTATTGGCTGTTATCTGCTTTTCCTTTTCTTTGAGGCACTTTTGGTCACACAGAGATTTTAAATTCAAATGCAGTTTTGATTTAAATATGGACAGATGAATAAATACCACATCAAAATTTTAAGTGTCAAGATGGATTTTTAAAAAATAAATGGTATTAAAAAAGTAAATCTATTAATGATATTTATTAAAATAAGTATAATCCAGTTGATACTTTTTTGATTTTCCAAACTGTGGCATATTCTTACTGAGCATTGCACTTACCGTGAAGAGCTCCTCTGGGGGCTTATTTCCGTCTAGCTCAATGAGATACTGGGAATCGTGTTCAGCCATTACTTCCTGCAGATGATCGAACACAAGCCTCATCATTCAAGATCATTGGCAAAAGATCAGAATCTTAATATACCATGAAGAAATATCTAAAGCTAAATTATTTGCTTTATACTTGACATAATAGATGTTATTTTCAGGAGAGCTTTTACAAAAGCCTAAACTAGTCTTCTTACCATGAATTTTACTCTCTTTCTGTTTTATCCATTTTTCTCTACAGTGAAGTCTTAGAGTCTTTCCCAACAGAAGTGTTTTGGGGCATCTATCTCTCTGTATGTATTCATAGAATAATTTCTACCAAACTGCTAGCTGAAGAATGGGGTTGGTTCATTTCACTTTTTTATTCCCCTGGCTGTGGGTGATGTTCAGTATCCAGATTATCCATCTCTGTAAACTGCCAAACCATAACCTCTGTGCAATTTTCCGTTAGACTCTTTCTTCTGCTTAACATTCATGGAGAATCTTTAGCCCTTATCTGCCATATGGTTTGTAAATGTTTTACCTTGCTATGATTTATCTTTTGACATTGTTTATGGTATCTTTTGCAATATAAAATATTTTTATGATGAAATCTGTTCTCATTGTTTCTGGATTTCCTTCCTTGCTTAAATTAGATTTTCTCTATCTCAAGGATATATTAATATTCTTGTAAATTTTCTTTCACTATTTTTTTTACTATTAAAATCTAAAATCCAAGGGATTTTATTTTTTTACATTGGCAATGTTGAACTCTATCTGAGTCTTGTGTTCCCAGAAAGTAGGGACGGTGGAGAGATGAGACCCACCTCCACCTTTCCTCAAAGACTCGGATAAGATCCATCTCCATCTTTTTTCATGATTCCCGTAGGACCTGAGGATGGCTCCCTTGTTTACCTGCCTCCATAAAACCCCAGCCCCCTTACTTTTCTTTGAGAAAGTCCTCCTTAATGAACATTCTCCCTGTTGCAATGGTCTGAGCAAAATCATCTCCTTAAATGTCCAGTACATTTTGTCTTTCATAATACTGCGCAAGGTCAGGTTCTAAGTATTTCTTTTCTTCTAGACAGAAGGCACATTATGTCTGCATTATTTAACCATAAATAACCATGTTCTGAACAAGGAAGTACATTATGCTTTTCTGCATTTCATATACTTTCCTTAAGCTAGATTCTTAAGAATGGACTTACTCAGTCTAAGGGTAGGAACAATCCTAAGGCTAAAGATCCTATACCAGGTCCGACCGGGAGTCAAGGTGGGATTCGAAGACAGGCGAGAATGAGGACTTAGCCTTGGATTACTCCTGAAGTAGGATATAAGCCAGAAAATGATGCAGGTTACTTTGCTCCCACTTGCTTTCCTCATGTCTTTTGAAGGAACACTGAATTTTGGTGGTATTGGCCTTCCAAGTGAATTGACATCTCAGCCAGGTCAGAGGAAACTGGAATTGCAGGCTCCTACCTTTGAAGGCTCTCCCACCTCCCTCCACTCACACCAGCACCTCGGAATTACCTTACAAGGCAAGAAGCTATACACTATTGAGCAAGCATCACCTAGGCCTAACGTCTAGGTTCTTGGCTTTGAAATTCTTGCTCTGCTGGCACCAGGGCAATCGATTCTTACCTATGCTTTGCTGTAGGGCTTAGAATTTTTCCACTTCTGGGCTTTTTTCAGACGAGCTGTCTAAAAACCACCATACTAATTTCTATTCCTTTCAGCGGGGTATGAGAGTGTGTGCTTTACCATATACACTTGCTAGAATTAGTAATTCTTATTCCTTGTTCATCTTTTAAAATTTGATCATGGAAATGTCTCTTCATTTAGATTAGCCTTTCTTTATTTTCTGTAAAGCTGAACATTTTTCTACAGGCTTGTTACTCTTTTGTCTTTCATTTTTGTGAATTGTCTGCTCATATTTCTTGCCCATTTATCATCAGGAGGGTAAGACCTTACAGGTTTTAGAAAAATCATTTCTATGACCTTTTTTTTCACATTTAAAAAATTGAAGAATAGTTGATTTACAATGTGTTAATTTCTGCTGTACATCAAAGTGATTCAGTTATATATACATTCTATTTTTAATATTCTTTTCCATTGTGGTTTATCACAGGATATTGGATATAGTTCCCTGTGCTATATAGTAGGACCTTGTTATTTATCCATTCTATATACACTGGTTTGCATCTGCTAGCCCCAAACTCCCACTCCATCCCTCCCCGACCCACCCTCCCTTCCCTTTGTTAACCCTGTCCTCTATGTCTGTGAGTCTATGACCTTTTAATATATCAAAGCTTTAAATCTTTTATCATAGTTGATGTGGATATTTTTCAAGTTTGTTGTCTTCTTATTTGAGTGCGGTGTTTTTTAAAAACTTATTTCCAGAAGCTTTACATGTAATGAAACGGAAGCTGTTATTCTTTTTCCTTTGTGATCTCATCACTTGTTCAGCTGACCATCTGTTAAGTATTTACCACTTGCCAGAATTTGGGCACTGCACTGGGCATTGGTGATGCTAGGATGTGAGACCTGGTCCCTATCCAACCCCCTGCCCATGAATATAGTTTTCTAATCTTCTGAATCCAATATTAATTATGCTTTATTTGATACCCAATGCCAGCCACTTAAGGAATATGTAGAATATTTTTGTTGAAGGAGAAAGAATATTATAGATATACATGTAAATTACACTTAAGAAGCTATGTTTAAAGGCCGGGGATGGAAGAAGAAGGGAGGAATCAAAGTCATACATAAGAAAACAAAAGTGCCGAATCATTATGCTGTACACCTGAAACTAACACAATATTGTAAATCAACTGTATTTCAATAAAAAAAGAAACCAGTTTGGTTCTCATTTTTTGGCGGGGGCGGGGTGGGCAATGGTGATGAAAATGATCCACTCATTTGTCTCTAAAAATATATAAACATTATAAAACAGCATGAAACAAATTCTTTTAGTTTCTCTATCAGATGGGAAGAGGTAATTTGAGGACTGTTTTTTATTTTCTTTGTATTTCCATTGCTTAGCATGGTATCTGGCCAAATACCAGGTAATAAATGTTTGTTGAATAAATCTCCAACATAAATTGGGCAGAGTCTGCCCTGGATTTTTAACCATAAAAATATGCTTTTCAATAATCATAGTTTCAGTAATCATACTTTTAAAATGCTAATTATTTTAATTAAAAATTTCCTATTATAATATATAATGGCCTTATCATGTTTACAAATAATCATCTTTGAATGGGATAAACAGAGAAACCAGAGTCTGGGATAGCTCTTCTTTAGACTGCAATTTAACTAAATTAACAAGTCCTTTTAAAATAAAAGATACACCTTAAGTGTACATTTGTTTTGATAAACCCATAAATGCTTTCACAGAACAATCTCTTGACATGGACTTTCCAACCTCCAACCATAAATAAATTCCCCTAATGACTTTTGAAAAATGCAATTTTCAGCAACATTCCTGC